AAAATATCAAACCATAACTTATTTGAGATTGGAATTTAGCAAAGTACACATTCCTAAGGACATGTGGGCTTACTTCGCCTTTCAAAGCAATAATAATGTAACACACCTTACTGAGCTTTGTACAGACCAACTAAATATGAATGTTCCATTTTAATTTGTGGGTTAAATTAATACCAAGAAACCTAAACTGTGCTGTATAATTAATTATTATATTTTTTGAAGGTAATTACTGGCTCAATGCTATCTTGTAGTTTATTCATATGGAAATACATTGCTGTAGTCTTCTCATTATTTATTACCATATTATTCATTGAAAACCAAGATTCGAGTTGCTTCATTACCTTATCTATTTTGTCTTGAAGAATATTCTTGTTATTTTCTATTACCAGTATACTGGTATCATCTGCAAATAGCACCACTTACCCATTAGTTATATGGAGGGGTAGGCCATTTATGTAAATCAAAAAGAAAAATGGGCCCAAGGTTGACCCTTGTGGAATCCCTACCTTTACATTCCATATTTTATAATTAAAATGAGTCATACCGTCCATGTTGCCCTTAGAAATTAATTCCACATATTGTGCCCTGAGTCCTGGTTTTAAGATAACTAAGAAAAACGTTTCAGAAACTGGATCTGTTTCCATCTGCAGATGAGGGAAAACACCTATTCTGTTAGGTCCTTTATAAAAAAGCTAGTCTCAATCACTGGCCAAGAAATTAATTCCACATATTGTGCCCTGAGTCCTGGTTTTAAGATAACTAAGAAAAACGTTTCAGAAACTGGATCTGTTTCCATCTGCAGATGAGGGAAAACACCTATTCTGTTAGGTCCTTTATAAAAAAGCTAGTCTCAATCACTGGCCAAGAAATTAATTCCACATATTGTGCCCTGAGTCCTGGTTTTAAGATAACTAAGAAAAACGTTTCAGAAACTGGATCTGTTTCCATCTGCAGATGAGGGAAAACACCTATTCTGTTAGGTCCTTTATAAAAAAGCTAGTCTCAATCACTGGCCAAGAAATTAATTCCACATATTGTGCCCTGAGTCCTGGTTTTAAGATAACTAAGAAAAACGTTTCAGAAACTGGATCTGTTTCCATCTGCAGATGAGGGAAAACACCTATTCTGTTAGGTCCTTTATAAAAAAGCTAGTCTCAATCACTGGCCAAGAAATTAATTCCACATATTGTGCCCTGAGTCCTGGTTTTAAGATAACTAAGAAAAACGTTTCAGAAACTGGATCTGTTTCCATCTGCAGATGAGGGAAAACACCTATTCTGTTAGGTCCTTTATAAAAAAGCTAGTCTCAATCACTGGCCAAGAAATTAATTCCACATATTGTGCCCTGAGTCCTGGTTTTAAGATAACTAAGAAAAACGTTTCAGAAACTGGATCTGTTTCCATCTGCAGATGAGGGAAAACACCTATTCTGTTAGGTCCTTTATAAAAAAGCTAGTCTCAATCACTGGCCAAGAAATTAATTCCACATATTGTGCCCTGAGTCCTGGTTTTAAGATAACTAAGAAAAACGTTTCAGAAACTGGATCTGTTTCCATCTGCAGATGAGGGAAAACACCTATTCTGTTAGGTCCTTTACAAAAAAGGTAGTCTCAATCACTGGCCAAGCCATGTCTCGAAACACAAAGGTTATAAAGACCTGAGACCAGGCTAAGTCCATGAGAGTGAATAAGAAAAATATACATTACAAATTGTTCCAAACACATACAAGCGTGGAACCAGGATAGATAGAGCCATATAAATATATGTCATGAAACCAAACTAATAACCAGGTCCATGACCCCACGGCATGGACTAGAAAGGAGAACTAGTAAAAAACTAATAGTGTCTAACTAGCGTCAACAGTGGAGTAAATCATGTCTATCTAATTTAGAACCTAACAGAAATTAATAAAAACATATATCACGTCATACAGATCTCCTATGTGAATTGGTGACTTCATTGCTGATAATGGGGATCCAAATGGGAGAAAAGTCCAAACTTGGTTGGCTAATTGGGTTGGCCGAGCATGCCAAATGGGCGGCTTCCTTGTATTTTCTATACCTGATGTGGCTTTCAATATCCAAAATCTTAGCTTCATCCCAGCCTACCCTATGTCCCTCTTCATAGGCATGTTGAGCTAGTTTAGATTTTTCTAGAAGACATTCTTTGAGGTTATGCCTATGTTCCCGGAGCCACACAGCCAGAGGTCTGCCTGTTTCGCCAATGTAGCTTCTGCCACATTCACAGGGAATGCTATAGATGCACTGTGCTGTCTGTTGTGGATCTCTTTTCAGTCTGGTTTTCATAAGAGAGTTCCTAAGAGTGTGTTTTGTTTAGAAGATGGTCCTAATATTATATCGATTACCTATCCGTTTAAACTTTTTAGAAACACCCTTCACATATGGAATATATACAGAACACAGAGGTTTTTCTTCTTTCTTCGGACGACTACTGCCCTTGGAATTAATGACCGAATCAATGAAGCCTTTGGGATAACCGTTCAACTGAAGAGCATGTCTCAGGTTGTTAATTTCTTTGGCCAAATCTTGTCAATCTTAGCATATAGTGGAGACTTTTAATCAAACCTCTTTTTACATGTGCCGGATGGTTGGATTTGAAGTTGAGGTATTGGCCAGTGTGGGTGGGTTTCCTGTAGATTTGTGTGACCGGTGCCGTCTCTTCTCTGATGACTAGAATGTCCAGAAAAGAGAAGCGGCCCATATGGCATGCTCGGCCAACCCAATTAGCCAACCAAGTTTGGACTTTTCTCCCATTGGGATCCCCATTATCAGCAATGAAGTCACCAATTCACATAGGAAATCTGTATGACATGATATATGTTTTTATTGATTTCTGTTAGATTCTAAATTAGATAGACGTGATTTACTCCACTGTTGACGCTAGTTAGACATTATTAGTTTTTTACTAGTTCTCCTTTCTAGTCCATGCCGTGGGGTCATGGACTTGGTTATTAGTTTGGTTTCATGACATATATTTATACAGCTCTATCTATCCTGGTTCCACTCTTGTACGTATTTGGAACAATTTGTAATGTATATTTTTCTTATTAGCTCTCATGGACTTAGCCTGGTCTCAGGTCTTTATAACCTTTGTGTTTTGGGATATCTCTTGTCCTGTGATTAGGGCTAGCTCTCTCTAAGAAATGTAACAGAATAGGTGTTTTTCCCTCACCTGAGGATGGAAACGGATCCATTTTCTGAAAGGTAGTTTTTTTTTAACCAGGATGATGCATGAAGTCCAAAAACTGATATCTCTGTGTCATACACCATCATCAGAATCCTGTAGTAAATACTAATTATGTTTCTCAGCCTTATGAATGGGATGGTATGGGGAGAGTAAGGCCATGTACACCATCATCAGAATCCTGTAGTAAATACTAATTATGTTTCTCAGCCTTATGAATGGGATGGTATGGGGAGAGTAAGGCCATGATGTATGCCATTGAGCAAATCAGCTCAATGATAGAGCACTTGCTTTGTATTTAAATATATTGAGCTGTAACCCCAGCAAGTACCATCTACAATGCTTGAAATTTTCCATACATTTCTTCACTCACTTCATACTTCTCCTTTTCATCATCAGTGTACCAATTTATCAGGTTATCTTTTGACTGCTTATCTGGTTTTCCCGTTAGTATAATAACTTTAACTCATTGAATAGCTGGAAGAATCAGAGCTAAGATGATGGCCTAATTTGAGCTGTTTCATTCTTTGATGCACAGATGATTTTTGCAAGTGTATTTAGTAATTTTGCCAGTCACAGTAGCCGAGGGGTCTAAGGCATGTACTGTCTTCGCTCGCTTAGAAACCAGGATCGTGGATTCGAATCCCACTCAGGGCATGGATGTTTAGTTTGTGTGTGTGCGTTTTTCTGTTTTTGTGTATAGGTAGAGGCCTTGCAATGAGCTGATCACCCGCCCAAGGAGTCCTACCAAATGTGTAAGATCTAGAAAAACCGAAGTGAATGGAGAAGTTCATGGAGGTAGGCCTAGGCCCACTGGGGCTGTAGTGCCAAGGAAAAAAAAAATTAGTAATTTGTGTTTGGTTTTATTCATGCAGGGGTGACGCAGCTCGTAAAGCTGCTGCTGCAACAGCAGAGGCAGCAGCCCAGCAGCAGGCTGTGATGGCAGCAGTAGAGGCAGAAACAAAACAGGAAGTTGTTGTAGAACCAGCCGCTGTGTCCCAAGTAATTCTCATTAATTCTAGTCTAATTATTTATCTGATTCATAATGAAAAGGTGGAGAAGTACATTAATTAATAATCTCAGTCTCATATAACAATTTCATTCTTTTTGATGTTTTATTTCCAGCAGTCGTCTGATACAGATTATTGTTTTTCTAATTTTACAGATATCCATTTTTACTATGTAAACCTCAAAACTTGAACAATGTCACATATATGAAACAAATTTTTTGCTCAACATTGAAAGAATGGCCTCAACAATTTTATGTAGAGGAAATGATTGTTCTTAATCAGTTGTACAGATATATTTCATAGAAGGGGTATTCTTAACTCATCTGCTATATTTACTTATAATGATTATTACTCTATACTTGATTTTGTAATTTAAACCAGAGTTTAGTACTGATGGGCACTGGTTTTCAGATTGACTTCAGTGAGTACACAGCAAGGGCTGTTAGTTTCTTGGCTCGAAATTTCTACAACCTCAAGTATGTGGCTTTAGTATTGGCTTTCTGCATAAACTTCATTCTACTGTTCTATAAGGTTTGTTAATTTTTTCTAATGTTCCTATTCATTAAGGCATATAGTTTCTTGTAGAGTAGGACATCTGGTTGGACTGATATTTTTCAAATATAGGAATGAGCTGTTTCCTTTTCCAAGAAGATAATGTAATGATCTTGAGCAGTTAATCAGTCCATGTCCTTCATGTGCTCATTTCCCTCATGTATTTTGATAAATGTAAGGGAAGAATTTAATGTCATTAATACATGTATTATGCACACAAAATTATAATATTCCTTAATACGTATCAAATCCTCAAGATTCTAATGCTAAAGTGGGACCTGCATCGTGGAAGAAGAGCCTGCTGTTTGACCCAATCCTGAGTTGATATCCAGTTCACATGATCACACATTTTCTTAGATCAATTTCAATATTTTTCTTCCAACTGTACCTTGGTCTGTAAATAACACAAGAACCACAGCCTTAATACAATTAAAAATGCTGCATCCATCTATGACGTAAGAAAGATATTCTTGTAAATTTGAAGTGAAAAAATCAGTACAAGAGTAAACATCCTTTTCTGTATAATTATTTTCCATTTTAAAGTCCCATTTAATTGAGATTGTTCAGAGACATCTTGCTAGAGTGACTGTAATTTATCTCCCCTATAGGAACATACTGTGTGCTAAGCATTACAGCTTGTCTTATCCCTATAATTTAAATTAGGTAACAACTCTTGGTGATGATGGTGATGATGGTGATGATGGGAGTGGTTCTGGGGAAGACTTGGCTGATTTGATGGATGAATTGTCTGCTGAAGTTAATTCAACAGAAGTTCTGAGTGGAGAGGAAAGTGGAGGACAGGATGATGAAGAGGAAGATCCTATAGAATTGGTCCATGTTGATGAAGATTTCTTCTATATGGCACATGTTATGAGGTTAATGGCAGCATTACATACGCTTGTGTCCGTGGCCATGCTTATTGCATATTACCATCTCAAGGTGAGCTTAGAATTTTGGTCACCCACCTTTTGGCATAAGCATTTGAACAGATTTTTAAAGAATTCAGTTTTCTGGGTATAACACCACGTAGTCCGTTGAAAGTCAACTGACGTTTTGAAGGAACATGCCACCTCCACCTTCAAGGTCAAAAAACAAGCCAAGCTGGTAGCAAGCAGAGCCTCTGAAACGTTAGTTGACTTTTAACAGACTACACAATGTTATATCTGAGAAGGTAGAAAACCCCAAATCCTACATCAAGATTTATAACACTGTGCTGAACCAGACACAATGAATGGTTTTATGAGAGTTAAGTGAAACTTTGGTTAGCTTTGTCCCCTGCGTAACCTTTATCGTATGCAGAAAATATGACAATGTACATGTTGTGTTATGTATGATTATGGCCTAAACTATTGATATGGTTGTGATTTGTATATATCATTGTCTTTCAGAACATTTATATGTTAAAATGGCTGTAATGCAACTGTTTTTAAATGAATGTTCAAGAAAAACTTTGTATATATATATACACAGACACACCCACATACATGTACATACATATGGGCAAAGCAAAAATGTATATATATGCAAATACATCAAATCTGATAGTTTTGTTCAGATTTTAACATCTTGAGGAACTGTAAACCTTAAATTCATGTTGTGATCTTCCAGCTTATGACACCATCTAGTCTGGTAGGTGAGTACAAGCATTTTGAAGGAAGATGCCACTTCCATCTACCCAGGTGATGGAGGGAATATGTTCCTCTAAAATGCTGGTAGCCACCTGCATGATATCAGAACCCAGAAGACCACAATATGAATCTTCACCACCATGAAAACATAAACTCATAAGCCTTAAAAATGTAATAAGTGAAGTCAAAGATAAATTAAATTAATTTGATGTAATCAAAAGAGTACTATAAAAACACATCTGTTTCACAAATCTTTCTATCAGTCTTAAAACAACTGATTCTCTCCATCATAAGAAATTAAATCCAGGTGACATGATTAGTCAGATTGTCCAAATGAACTGAGATAGATATGTGATGCTACTGAATCGGAGCAGAAAGTATCCCTCAGTAGACAGTGTTAGTTTGATAGCAGATGCCACATTATGTCATTTTATGTAATTTTCGGTTCTCACATCTGTGAATAATATGGTCATCTGGGTTGTGACACCATGTAGTTTTGTACACATATACCAACATTTTGGAGGAACCTGCAGCAGGCTCTTCCACCCTGAAGATGCAAGCAGCAGATTCCTCTGGAACATAAATACCAGTATACCAGGCTATAGTTTCACATCTCACAAGACTGTGTAACCTTCATATTACATCAGATTTTCTTTCACGTAATTTAGCAGGATTCAGTCTGAATAATGAATAACAGGAGGCTCTCAATTATCTGAGGACAGATTATCAGCTTTGTAGATTAACTGTAGTGCCTTTGGCTTCTTCATTTTTTTAATTTTATTATATTGGAATCAATTGTGTACAGTTTGATCATACCTACAGTCAGAATTATGGTTCTTAACATTTTGTACTTTACTGTATGCTGGCATAAAATCTGCTGAAATTTCAATGGAAAATTTTTGCTCTCTGAATATCATGCTTGGTCACACTGTGCTGTTTTTGCATTGATCCAGTCTCATAAATTTTCCCTTGAGAGACACTTTGAAATCATAATTTCACTGACTATGCAAGCTATGAACTTGAGAAATTAGTTAGTGTCTGTGGCCATCAGCATGTTTGAACTCTTGAACTGCTTGATAGATTTGATGAAATTTGAAATGAGTGTTATGACACTGGAGGCCACCTCAAATCTGTATGTTCTAATTTCGGTAATAACAATGTGGCAAGTTCTCAAATTTGTAGGGTAGGAGCAACTTTACTGCAACCTCCAAAATTCAGTAACTATTGTGTACATGCACTTGAAAGCAGATTCAGAATGCTTGGCGGAAAGAACATGTGTGGAAATTACTCATGGTCTGGTATGGATCACACCTTTCCAGTCTTGTTAAATAATTATGGAACATAATTACAATTAGTACAGTTTCCATATTTGTGACATATGAACTGCTGTGTAGGTGCCATTGGCTATATTCAAGCGAGAGAAGGAGATAGCAAGGCGACTGGAATTTGATGGTTTATATATAGCAGAGCAACCAGAGGATGATGATATCAAGTCACACTGGGATAAGCTAGTCATATCAGCAAAGTGAGTACCAGTTTGATTTGCAGCTATACATAATAAATCATTGAAGGTTGCGGTGAAGGGGCCGGTCTAAGCCTACTCTTTATGCATTCACTGATGTGCAACTGTGTGTTGATGTTGAGTCAGAGTGCTGATGTACTGAAAATTGCTGAAAACTGCATGAAGATATCACTAGATATTCATATCAGCATTTCATATGTAAACAATATCTTTCTAATGAAACTACATTTGTTACTGAATGGGTGGGCACTGTCTGATGCCAATGAAATGTGTGTTTTTAATATCAAGCTGTGTTGGAGGACCAATTTATTTGAACATGACATGTTTCACTTTAACTTGTTTTCAATTTAATGTTGAAGGGTCAGTCCAGACATGATTTCAGAAATTTTGGATTGAATCCAAGGTTTCATTCCTTTCTAGGTTACCTGCATGCAAATTTGAAGTATTGCACTTGTACTTTCGTTTACAAGTAAGCTACCATAATTCTGTTTTCACTTGGTATATTTAATTAAATTTTGACAGTGCAAGGCTCATAGTATTCAAGAAGCTTCCTCCCAAATTAAAAGCTTATTCAATGAATATTACCATTGAAAGAATACCTCATGGCACAAAGCTCCTACTCTGTAGATGGAGTTGTGAACTGCAGTATGAGAGATGTATCTCAGATATTTCTTGTTCTTTGTTTTGTTCAAGAGTCAGAACTTCCTCCTCCTCCTTTTTCCTTTTCATCATCATTTTCGATTCTTCCTGAACTGTTAAATTTTAATGATGTGTTCCTTATCCCACCACTAGTCTTCTCAGTTTGGAATAGTGCAAAGCAGGCTCTGTGTACACCTGCTAAATACTGCTTAATAAATTAGTTGGATATACTAGCACTTCATTATAATATTCTTTAGTTTGAAAGGAACCTTAATTTTTTACTCCATTTGTACATGCCAAAAGGAACTTACTGTGTAGAATGAGACTATTTCAGTTAAACATAAATTAAGGATTAAAATTGATGTAATAAAATGGTAGTATCAAAAAATATGCAAGGCTCAATGGTAATAATAATAATTTGCTGTTTCTTTGTGTGTACAGTTCACACATTTGTTTTGTTATTTCAGATCATTCCCTGTTAACTATTGGGATAAATTTGTGAAGAAGAAGGTACGCCAAAAATATAGTGAGACTTACGACTTTGACTCAATTAGTAATATGCTGGGAATGGAGAAAACATCTTTCAGTGCTCAAGAGGAAGAGACAGGAAGTGGCTTTATACATTTGTAAGAACAAAAGAATTTTTCTTTTCATAACTCAACACAGTTGCAGCTATAAATTCAAGTGCCACCATTACATGCAATATGCTCCTGATTATCCTTGCTAATTAAAAAAGAAATAAATGTTCACAAATAAGTGAAAAACATGGATAATCTGATTTTTGGGTGTGATCAGAAGACCATGGTCATTGTTAAATATATCTTTTTTCCCTTATGTATGCTAAATGCCAAACTCCTCTCAGTCTCTCTGAAGTATATCTGACTTAGTTTATGAAGAATAGCAATTCATTCATCATGTAATGTTCTCTATTCCCACTTTTGTTCTCTCCTAGAACTGAATTTTCCCCTTATCACTTAAATTTTTGCATTATATTAGATTTCATCAATCCGCATACTTTTCACTATGACGTTATACTTGTATACCTCTGATTGTCTAAGTTGATAGCCAGCTAAAACAAAATAGCTTGTAAAATAAATATGAAACTAATACTTTATGATACAAATGTAAGGATCCAGAGAAATAAATGCAAAAACTTATGATAACTGCTTTTCTTAGTATGGAGACACAATCTACCTTAAGGAAAAAATAAAAGCAGGTGTCAAACGTTATGAGAATCATAAATTTTACAGCCATAAAAATTAATAGTCCCACATTATTATAATCATACTACCCTAATCAAACCACACCCTTTTGTTTCTTATGCTTAACAGTACTTATATTGAGTTAATTTAAAAAGTTCAAAGTAAACCCCTGAAAATTATGACAGAACTTCTGAATAACTGTACTGCATTTGTTGTTCGGTCACAAACCATTTCACCTTTCATCCAGTGAAATTTTATATTGTATTGTATTATATTGTATATTGTATTAATTTGTATGTTTCTTGTTTGTTCAAGCATCTTGAATATTGACTGGAGGTATCAAGTTTGGAAGTCAGGTGTCACAATCACCGACAATGTAAGTATAGCTAGCAATGAAATACTCTCTCACATATCAGTAACTGAAATAGATATTGTCCCACCATTTGTAACCATTTGTGCCATTAAAGTCATTTTCTTGTCCACTCATTATTTCACCGCAAAACCACTGCCCACCCACTGCACTCTCCTCTCCTTTTCTTTCCCTTTCTTTTCTCTATTGTCACTGAACTGAACAGAGAACTTGCTGGCTCACTAACTGTTATAGGCATATCACCCCTTCAGGAATTTTATGGCCAGTTCTTGGGCAGCCTTGGCTTTTGGAAATACAGTCAACTCTCGATTATCCGGGGGCGGATTAACTAGTTTGCGGCTTAACCGGGGCTACCGGGGCTTTTTTGAGGCTTATATGTTGTTTAATATTCAGTCACTTTTGTTTCACATGGTGATTTGTAACACTATTTTCGCACTAGTGTGAACCGAGCTCTGCATTCTTTGGTCCCGTTATGCTAACACAATGTTCTAGGGTAGGGGTGAAAGAATGCAATGATTTGTGGAAAGTTTCAAGGACAGATACACCGCCTCAGTTTGTCTCTTTGTATCGATCTTCAAGTGCGTTAGCAAAAGTCAGGGTGTAAAAGGAAACGTGTTGTATTAAGTATTCAACAGAAACTCGTGTGAGCCGGGCTTCGAAATGTTAAGCAGTGACGAAACCATAAGTTCAGTGGGTGTGCAGCCAGAAGAGCGGGAAGAAAGTGAGAATGAGGAAGAGGTGGACAGTGCTGCTAGTAAGAAAATATCACATGGTGCTGCTCCTAATCATTTGGAATCCTTAGTAGACTATCTAGAGAGTGAAGAGAACAGTATATTAAGTGACAAGCTAATATTACGTAGGCTTCGTACGGATATCCGTAAAAAGGAAAATACCGCGAAAAAGCAAACGACAGTATTCATTTTTTTTAAGTGTTAAGTGTGAATATTCGTAAAAAGTGTTGGATGTTGTTGAACACTGTGATTGAAATAACTAATTCACACTTCAGTATAATGTAAAAAAGTATTAAATAGGCCATGAGATGACATAAAAATGA